CTTCACGCTAACCCACTTCCACTGCCTATGTGATCAGAGCAGAAGTTCTCTTCTGCCTGCAAGCTTCTGGGATCAATCACAGGTCCCAAGAGGCTGCCGCACCATTCACAAAGTGCAGCACACCTCCCTTAATAAACATGTCGGTCCTGGGGACCCGAAGACCAGCAAACAACCGGCTCGAATGAGGGTGATGCTGATCCTTGGACAGGTAATGGTCTTTTTTTTTTTTTTTTTTTTTTTTTTTTTTTAAAAGTAGTCCATAGCTACAGTATTTGTAGCTGCCCACTTTAATTTTTATAAGACTGAAAATCCTTTAAGAATATTCCACAATGGTCACTATTAGGAAGCTGTGCCACACAAAAAAACAAAAACACCCATAAAAATTGTTTGGCACATTGTTTTAGTAAACTGCCCATTAAAATGATCTAACCTCAAATTCCAGGTTAAAGTTTGTTCACTGTTCCATTTTACATGTAGCACCCTCTATTGTGCTATTAGGATAGTGTAGGCAAATCTATTGTGTATGACTAATGGGAACTGTGTGAGAGAAGGAGAGAAGCGCCTCTAAGTGCAATAGGTTTCTTTATTAAATTATATATGTGTAGGAACACTCACATAGATATGGTAACGGGAAGCATGAAAATCTGTTGAAAAAGGAGCGCACTTCTGCCTTCCACGGCCAGCGCATGCTCCGAAACGCGTCGCAGTGCACCCTGTGTAGCTGGCCAGCTAAGACCAGTCCTAGGTTGCTAATATGGTTCACATATAAGTGTATACCAAACCTGCCAATAACCTCAGTACAGTGTATATGTGCATATGTTAAAGCCAAAAGCAGAATCATTGCTGTAATTTATGTCTTTGATTGTTATATGACATTTATATATTCATTGTGTTAGCAGAAGCAGAAAAGGAAAATATGCCTTTAAGAGTTAGTATAAGGTGAGCCAATCACAGACAGCCTCACACTGTACAGAGCCTTAACCAATCCCAGCCAGTTTCACATTTGTGCCTGTGTAAAACTCCCTGCTAGTATTTTCTAGAGACACATGCTCACCAGACAGAGGAAGAAACAGACAAGGTTCCAGTCAGAGAAGCTCCATGGAAGTAGAGAAGGCCAAATAGGTATTTAATGCACTTGTGTGTTCCTCTATTGTTTAACAGTGCAGGTCGATCTGTGTCTAAAAACTGTTGTATGCGTTTACTTGTAGTTCCACCGAACTTACGAATCAAGTCACTGTAGAGTAATCTAATGAATTTATAAATCCAAGTGAATTTATCAATCTATCGAAATATACAGAACTAATTTATCAAATCTATTGAACCTATCGAGATAAGCTATCGAATCAACCCAATGTAATATGAATTAAACCATTGTAATATGAAAGAAACAAGCCATTGTAAGCAGTGTTATATGAAGAAGATTGAAGTTATTAAAGAAGTTAACTAAAGTATTCGGTGTGCTCTTTAAACCTACTGCATCCATAGAGCGGCATTGGAGGAATTACAGAGTAAAGTCAGTCTAATCAAACAAAAAACAGCAATTGCATAATTTTTCTAATGCCACAGCGCACTAGGCACCAAAGGGTGCTGCGCCTGCCACACCCTGGGTATCCTGACGTCATCACGGCCACGCCGCCGCTGCGTTCCACCTGGCTCTGAGGGAGGACGTGCACGCCGGCCAGACACACTGCTATTTCCCTCCTGCTACCACGCTGCTCCAGTGGCCAGCTGACTGCTCTACACCGCAGCAGATGACGGCTGTTCACCCTGGAAACCACCCTACTGTCTTATACCACAGTTTTTACGCTTACCATTATCATATCTGTGTGAGTTGTTCCTACACATATATACTTTAATGAAGAAACCTATTGCACTTAGAGGCGCTTTTCTCCTTCTCTCATCTACAGAGTCTGCTACAGCCTATTTGGAAGCTTTGCCCTCAGTGCTACATGGATCCCCACGCTCTACATATAACTACCACAGCTACCACCATTACCCCATACCAATATTACCAAGGACTTTCAGCATTTTTTGTGCTGATACACCCCCCTTATCTTTTCTTAATGGCAACTGTGTGAGTCTGATTAACCACTTGCCCTCCTGAGGATTTACCCCCCCTTCGTGACCAGGCCATTTTTTGCATTACTGCACTGGTTTACTTTGACAATTGCGTGGTCATGCAAAACTGCACCCAAATTAAATTTACGTTCTTTCTCCCATAAATTGAGCTTTCTTTCGGTGATATTTGATCGCCTGTGTGTTTATTTTATTTTATTTTTTTTTTTTATAGCACAAAAAAGACAGACAATGTTGAGAAAACATTTTGCTATTAAACATGTCCAGTAAAAACTGAAGAAAAAAAAAAAATCAAATTGTCATAAATTTACGCCAAACTGTATTCTGCTACATCTATGTATATAATATGCAGCGCTATATAAAAAATGACAATAAATAAACTCCACTATAATGAAAATAAAATAAGTAAAACACAAAACAGAAAGCGCTATTTGGAGCGCCAGGAATAATCAAGTGATTAACGTCCGGACATGACGTTTAGAGTGCCCAAAGTGAAGTAAATGGTTCAAAGTTCAATCAATATAACTGTAAGGTGCAAATCCGTGATTCCAGTGGTTGTAAACGAATGTATATTGCACTAACCAGAAAGCGCAATGTCATGCGCATTTGAGTAATTCAGACCAACTCCTGGTCATCTGGATCTGGAACAGGGGACTCTGGGGGTCATCTGACACACCTCAGCAGGACAGGTAACACATCTCCAGGCTCCAGAGGCAAACATCCATCCAGCAGGGGGAACCACTCATGGGAGGTACATATAGAATACCAGGGATTCACCTTAAGAAGGGGCTCATAATAAATGAGCCAGAGAAGAGACTTCCAATAGTGTAGTCATTTTTATTGAGGAATGAATCAGCGACAAGCAATTCTGAATATGCACTCACATCTGACAGGATCCAAAATGGCCGCCGGCCTTCCACGTGGGCTGCCGAGCGGCATGACGTCACCAGGTAGGGCACCTCCCTCCAAGGAGCCTTTTGGATCCTGTCAGATGCGAGTGCATATTCAGAATTGCTTGTCACTGATTCATTCCTCAAATTTGATTCACTTAAGTTGGGCATCCCATGATCCCTTTTACCCTATTCAAGTTACAAATAATAAAATTACAAAAACCAAGCTCATGGACTGTTCACTGACTGGATGAAAGCGTGGAAAATGTGTGTTGCACTACATACAGTATAACTGTCTGAAGGAATCATCTGCTGAGGTAGCCCACCAAATACTCTGTTGTCACCGTTCTACTCTTGTGGTCATTACAAAGCTGAATGTAAAAGATTAGGGAATCAAGATCGAAGTGACATCTTTGGTTGGAACCTTGCAAGAGTGGTAAAGGCCAAAAACTTACTGTGTGAAGCTGCACTATTGGGGTTCATTCCCACCATAAAGGATGGGTTTTTTTTGGGTTGATGTGCATTGTGCTAAAGCAGCCCCAAATGTTTCCCAGGACCACTCACCAATAAAAATAATCACAAAACTGCTTCAGCTGATTCTCCACCTATCGGGAAAGCCCCTCTAAGAGGTTTTGACCACATAGGGGGGCTTAATCAGAGGCAAGAGCAGCCCATTTTGAATGGGCCCTTGACTCACAAAAGAATAGTTTTGCACTATTTTCAGCAAAGCAGTGTACTGCAACAGGTATTCTCATTTGGGCATTGTGGGGCGCATTTTTGTGCTTTGGGGGGGGGATATTAAAAGTTAATGGTGGTGCACATATACAGCATGTTACCATGCTGTAATGTGTGATACTGCATGCTCTATGGTATGAACAAGCAGTGGAGTCTTAAAAGAACAAATTGCTGACAATTTGTCCTGATTTTGATTGTCAATGACCTGGAACAAGCATGCAACAAGTTCAAAGTACACTCATGATCTATACACTTTAGGTGCACGGAAGTGTTTATATCAATGTATCAGCATGGCAACTAGGCAACAAGTGTTTTTCAGGAGGAAAGGTCAACAGCAGCCAACATTTTTCCAAATTTTCTTTTTCAGCTGGTGAAAAGGCTTTATGGAATCAAGATTTAGCCCAATGGAGGAAACATTTGGGTTACTGAAAGCAAAGAAAAAAAAAAACCCTTTTTTTAGAGAAACCCAGCAACATGTCATATTGCTCAATATTATGGGTGATATCACAAATTAATGAGCCAACCCTACTGAAGCCGCAGTTTTCAAAAAAAAAAAAAAAAAAAAACGCTTGTACACCCCTTGGACACATCTACAGATAGGTTAGGCAATAGGCTCAGACAGAGTTGTCCCCAATGTCAGCTAATCACAAACCATTTATACTTCCAAAATTTCAAACAGTTTTGCAACCCAACAAATCATCCAAACCCAAAAATCAGACTGTCGGGATGTAATCAAAGCTTTATTAAGTTTGCTTGAAAAGGAAAACAAAATTTCCAACAGAATGTGGCCAGTTCAGATACAAAACCAAAAAAATATGAAACCTGTTCCAAGCAAAACAAAATACATATGCACTTTTGTAATAATTTACAGGTACAAACTAATGAAAAATACAATTTCACCAAAAAAAAAAAAAAAAAATTGTAAACATTTTTTTGCACACTTGTCAGTCCGTTTTCTCTTCTTTTTTTTGGCAAAGTGCTCTTCTGATGACAAATAAATTAACAAACAACTAAGTTTGGACTAATTCCAGACAGTACAAAGAAAAAATAGACACGTGAGAACTTAGTGGCGCTGTAAGCTGAACCCAATAATACTTACATAATGAGGGGCAGCGACATGGTCAACAAAACCGGATGTGCATTTGTGTGTATAGTGACCCTTTTACTGAATAGTACAAGCATCATGTGTACTTCAGTATGGAAAGTTGATATAAAAATAACTAATGATCTTAATTATATTTTATACACAAATAAATGACTCAGTTTTACCCAAAGCATTTACATTCTTGGAGGAAAAGTTTATGCGTGACTTATAGGTAGTTGCGCCATGGAGTGAGGCAGCATTGATGGGAGCCCAAGAGCTGTCGGTGAGTGAGCTGGGGAAGAAAAAAAAAAAAATTTGTATTATGATGCAGATGTTGTAAATGAATATTTAATGTTGTGAAGGACATGAGGGGGAGGAAAAAAAAAAAAACAAATCACAGATTTGGTGGGTTAAATTCTGCCTCGAGATTTAAAAAATACCAAGGTGATACATTTTCACCAGCAGGTGACACTGCACAAGAAATCCAGTTTTAAATTCTAGCCCTGGTGAAGCCAAGATGTTCAAGAACTGGTAATCACTAACATTGCGATAGAGCACTGGTCTTCAAAGTGCGGCCCTGAGACCAGATCTGGCTCTTTGCTCGTCTTTATCCAACCCTTGGAGCACTTTTCTTCCCAATGACACCAACATTGGGTACAATTTCTGCCACTGACACCAATGGGGTACTATTCTTTTCAATGGCCAATGATGAGGCACGGTTTCTGCTAATGACACCAATAACAAACTATGGGGTTTTTTTTTTTTTTACTAAAACTGGTTCACTCAGAATCTTGTGCACTTGTGTGGAAGCCAATCATCTTCCAGGTTCTATTGCTAAAGCTTAATTGAACAAGCCGAGGTTAGAAGCCTTTTGCTACCATGTAGAGCTGTAAATCTGCCCTATGCCTCCAACTGACACCAGCAATGGTGCCCTATTCCTACTCTAATGCCAAAGATGCACGTTTACCTATACTGACTGCAGGACAATTTCTACTTCCTAAAAAGTCTGGCACCCCTGAAGTCTGAAAGACAGTACACTGGCCCTTTGTTTAGAAAGTTTAGAGATTCCCAAGAAAAGGGATAAACAAAGCCAAAAAGTATGTGGGCACCCCTACACACTTAGTTGAGAGGTTTCCAGTGAAAGGCACTGTTTGAGGAAGGTCCTTTTTTGTTTCAACATGACTGTGCTCCTAAACACAAGGCCAGCTCCATAAAGACATGGTGTAATAAGTTCGGTCCAAAGGAACTGGTGTGGCCTGCACAGGACACCGATTTTAACCTTAGTGAGTACATTTAAAGATGAATTGAAATACAAACTGAGTCAGGTCTTCTCATCTGTGCTGCGTTTGAGATATATAGTTGGTTTGTTTTGTTTCATTCTCCAGCTTACTGTGTATAACGTTTGTTTTGGAGATAGACAAGTGTCTTGGAGTTTGAGGGGTCTCAAACAAATGCCATTGGATACAATGGTAACCGTTACCATTGTTGTATTTCAGTTGACAGTTGGCTATTGTTCTGTAACCATGGTGAAACACAGCTTGACATACGACCTATGGCATGTATGATACAACAGTGCAAGAGCCTGCATGGCCAATTACTAGGTTTTTAAACATGGCTATGTGGGGTGTGCCTGTAATAGCATCCCTCTGTCTAAGCTCTGACACCAGGGGGACAGGATAAAAGCCCGGAAGAGGAGGTTTATGTGCCACTAGCCACCTCCCTGAGTAAAAAAAAAAAAAAAAATTACACTGCTCATCTCCAAGATTTCTCACCTAAGCTGGCAGAGGACATAGACAAAAAAGGCTAGCTCGCCTTTAAAGCACCTTTCAGCTTCAGTATTTGTTTCTGCTGTTCACCCTCCCTTTCCTCTAGACATATGCGGTTCATTTCTCTCCAAATGCGATCACATTTTTTGTTATTGGACATTGGGATGTCTCTGAATTTCTGAATTCGATTAGTAGCGAATACAAAATTCAAATCAAATGCGAATTGAATATATAATAGAATAGAAAAATAGAATAAAATAAATATAACTGTCCTCCAAAATTCGAGTACATTAGAATAGCATAGAAAAGAAAAAAAATAAAATAGAATCAAATAGAATGGTCTTCTGAAATTCAAATTTGAATAGAACATAATATAGAATGAAAGAGAAAAAAATAAAAATTTCGAATTGAAGACGAGCAGAGCAAGCGCCGAAGAAGAAGAAGAGCAAGAGCCGAAGAAGAAGAGCAAGAGCCGAAGAGAAAAAGAGCCTTTCGAAATTTGAATGTCTTATAGAATATATTCGAACTTGAACAGAATAGAAAAAATAGAAAGAATAACACCGCCTTCCGAAAATCAAATAGAATAGATTAGAAAAGAATAGACAATAGAAGTATAGAAAAAAATAGAACGAATACAACCCTTTCCTCTCCCCTTGTCTATTCACAAAAAATAAATGTAGTTTACCCTGACCTCCTCCTACTCTCCTCTTTCTACTTCATTAGAAATAACTGCTTGGAATGGTTGTGTAAAAAAAGACTTTTCACACTTAAAAACACCAAACAGTGCTGGACTATTGCTTTAAACAAACTGCAAGAGCTGTTTATACGCTTTAAGTAGTGCAGGAGCTTGCCAATGATCAGCACTCAAATGCTGCAATACAATCATACTTTAGGTATGCCAAGTGATTGTGGCATTCGTCAAGGACTTGAAGTGTTGAACAAAACTGATCATCCAACTCCAGAGTTTTGTTAATCAGCCTGATAGTCACTACTGAACATTGTTGGCCAATGTATTGCCATCCACACATTCCCATACACTTGGCCAATAACTAGTTCCTGGCACCAGCTTACCATCCATGTAACTGTGCAGAGCGGTCAGCATGGGCCCATCTTGAGGTACATATGCAGAGTAGGTCATTTCCTCCATCATAGGTGGGGAAAGCCTTGAGGATTGAATGGCTGTAACTGGCGCGGTTGAGGAATGAGTAGGACTAACATGTTTCTTGTGGCGCGCTCTACAGTTCTGAAACCAGACCTGGAAGAGAAGACATGGCACAGCACTTTACTACCCCAAGCATAGCAACATTTCATGGTCATTAGCAGCACAGGAGGAAGTGGGGATATCTTCCAGAAAGGGATGTCCTCATTTAGGGAGATTTCCACTTGCTTCCCATTGTGTTTCTGGGACAGTAATGGCAGGAAAATCTCATGCAGTTGGTCACAAAGTGACAGGTTCCACCCCTTCAGCTTTAACCAAAAATCAGACTCGGCTGGTATTACATTGCAGAGATATGCAATAAGTCCCATGCGTTAACCCAGAATGTGAACCCTCAACCCTTCCACCTGCAGTTCTTTTAAAGCCTCACCTGTATTACGCGTCTGCTTAGACCCGTCCTTTCTGACAATTTCTGTAGTGTCTGTGCATCCGGATTGTTGTCCTGGGCAAACTGTGCTTGCATAACCTAAAAATGCACCATAATATAGGTCAGTAACGGCAGTTAAATCAAACCTATATTGGATCATGTACAACAGTTACCAAAATGCAGGCCAATAAAGTAAATCTCACAAAGAAATTTAGTAAGCCAAGAGAAATTTGCACCGACTGCAGAGATCATTGACTGGAGTACTGCCCCTGCTGGACAAACTGGGAAGTACAAGACTTTACCTTTTCTATCTAATGTTTTCAGTTTTGTATTTAGCACATTGCCATCCGCCCAATACCAGAAGTACTGCTACAGGGTGGAACGGCTGCGCAAAATCATATACATACACATTATTATATACCACATACACGATTTACAGTTCCGGGTAGGGGGCGCCACTGCTGAGGATGTCAATCACTGGGTCCCGGCTGGCGATTCCTGGCCAGGACTCTGTCGGCAAAGCTGACGGGAGAGACCTGTGTGTAAAACAATACAGATATCTCTCCCCAGTCAGCATGGACATGTTGCTTTGCATCTCTCCACACAGCAGAGAGATACAATGCAGCATGTCTGTAGTAAAAACACACAGCACACAGTTACCCCCTTATTCGCCCCAGGTTAACCTCTTCCAGCTCAGTGCCGTTAGTACAGTGCCAGTGCTTTTTATTAGCACTGATCACTGTATTGGTGTCACTGGGGATGTCAGTGGCAGTTAGTACCCAGCCAGTGTCAGAATGTCCGCCTCAGTCCCACTATAAGTCGCTGATTGTCGCCATTACTAGTATAGAAAGAAACATAATACCAGTATATACACCATTTGTAGACGCTATAACAACTTTCACGTAAACCAATATGCACTTATTGGGTTTTTTCTTTTCTTTTTTTTTTAGCAGACATGTAGCAGAATACATTTTGGTCTAAATTTATAAAGAAATTTGATTTAAAAAAATTTTTTTCTGGATATATTTTATAGCAGAAAGTTGAAAATATTGTGGTCGGTCTTTGTTTATAGCAAAAGAAATGAATAAAAAAAAAACAAAACAAAAACCGCAGAGGTGATCACATACCACCGAAAGAAAGCTCTATTTGTGGGGAAAAAATTACATAACTCATTTATGTACAGCGTTGCATGACTGCGCAATTGTCAGTTAAAGTAACAATGCCGTATCACAAAAAAATGGCCTGGTCAGGGAGAGAGGAAATCCTCTGGAGGGCAAGTGGTTAAAACAGCGTTTCTAAACCTTTTCAGTCAAGGCACCCATTCTAAAATGTAAACTAAAAAAAAAAATGAATAGTTTTACACAAGACAGCAACATCTACAAAATGTAGGACAACCAACATGATTTATTCTTCGAAATCAAATACGCTGATCACTATGAAAGACCCTGAACTCTCCATTGAGAACATCCAAGAGCTAGGATATTGGGTACAGACGCACTCACCTGGTTCTCACCCAATAAGGGCATTAATGCTCAAGAAGGTTAATATTGAAATTGTAAATGCCGTCTGGTTAGCCCCCTATTCACACAGCGTTTTCAGCTTCTTTTCTTCACTTATCAATGCTCAACATGCAGAATCTCATTCTAGTTGTACTCATGCTCAGTCCCTCTACACCCAAAAGTACATGAGCTCTTTTGGGGAGCCCCCAAAGACTTTAATGGGTGCACCCGTAAATGCGCAAAACTTATAAGATTGCATTTTTGCACCTGAAAAACCGCATACTCTTCAATGCTCTCCTTCTGCCCAACCTTGGAAACACACGTGGAAAAAAAAAAAAAAAAAAAAAAAAAAAAAGCCTGAAAAATTACTAGGAATATTCTTACGCACTGCGCTATTGAGCTAGAAGGTACAATAACCTGGATATTCAGATGGTTGACACCACAGGTCCTGCACCCAAACAGCCCAACAAGTTACCAGACAAAATTAAGGGGTGAACGTATGCAATGAAAAACACCTAGATTTGTATTGAAAAGGTCTGTACAGATCTAGAAATAGCTATAATTACATTTTAGTTGCATAATCATGTCCCTTAAGCCTTCCTAAACCAAAAATTTCAGCTAAGCCATCCCAATAGACTTTACAGCAAGCCCATATAGGACCAATATTTTTTGCACCTACAATGTTGTGTACATATTGGGAATTGCTACAGGTACACAACAAAAACAAAACAAAACACACAAAAAAAAAAACAAAAAACAAACACCATTTTGGATGTACACATTTAAAACTGCATTTGTTAAACCGCAATATCAAAAGGCTCTCAGTAGTTGTGGTCAATTTAAGTTCCACCAATGTTACCGACTCAAATCACTTGGAACATTGTGCCGCAGAATTACAGGATTTATATATTTTTACATTATGTGACAAGCTGGGACTTAAGACTCATTCATTGAGCCACGGACACGTTCCGCCAGCCTCAAAACAAGAACTTACTTGGAGCTGGTCTGCTGTGAAGCTGGTACGAGCCCTTTTAGCCGGTTTTGGCTGATTAATATCTTGCTCTGTCAACAAAGCCCCTTCCACACTGACACGGTTCCCTGCAAGGAGAGGGAACATAAATCCAATTAACATTTTTCTGCATTGCATAATAAAATCAGAAAAGCAGAGGTCCTATGCACCACAGGATCACATAGAAAAGGCTCCCCAACTTAGCATGTACAACATACCGTTTTAAATTGAGCTAAATGTAATAAGTGTGAACACTTTAGAAATCTTCGAAATTTCTGCATCAAAAAGGCTCCTAATAGGACATCTGATTTTTACTCAAAAAAATACATTTTACCTAACAAATGGCAAACACGCTACATTGACAGGTCTCTATGTAGCCAAAGTATCACATAAGATATTTGGGGAAGTAGTATGTGAACCAGGGACAGACTGACAACTCATGGGGCCTGAAGCAATAGGGGATCATGGGGCCCCTGTGTCCTCGCCCAGACTCAAAGCACACCCACAAAAGCCTATGAAGGATACCAGGGGCATCTCATGGGGCCCCCTATTGACCCCGGGCCGTGCCCAAATGGTCAGTCCGTCCCTGATGTGAACTACCATCTTGAAAAGCATTAAAAGGCAGGCAAGCTATTGAGAAGCAAATACAAGTCATGCAAAATGTGAAAGTAAAAAGGTTACCTTGGAGAAAGTTCACACTTGGAAAGGTCAACAAAATGTGGTCTTTTATTAAATCACATGAATACAGCTATAAAGCAACCAATGTGTTTCAGCCATTAGGCCTTAATCATGGTTGATCGGTTAACCTTGACCTCTACCCACAATTAACTGTTGACGTGCAGTGGAGCCCAACCTAAAAGGGATTTCAGAGGATCTCTGATAAGGAGCTGTTGAAGGATTTTAAATACTGGGCAAATACTATACCAATACATTGCTACTTTCCCTAAATTCTACAGAAGCTCGATGCAACTCCTACTGAAATGCTGTAGGACAACAAGACTTATGAAAAGAACAAAGTGTGGGAACTGTTCTCAAAAGAAATCTGACAAAAATACACCTCCTAGTTGATGGATTGGTCTGATCAGGGGCAACAAGTATTTGGTTTAAAGCCACTGCTGATAAAAAGGAGGTTTCACAAACTTTGCCACCCATTTAAGGGCCTCTATTTGTATCAAGTACATGTGAACTCCACCTAAATGACATTTACTTTGCTAAAGCGCCATCTTAAACCATTGCCATCATTATATATAAAAAAAAAAAAAACATATATATATATATATATATATATATATATATATATATATATATATATATAATACATACACATACATATATACACATACATACATACACACACACACACTGTCTCTCTCTCTCAAACCCCAACCCCCCCCCCCCCCCCCCAAACCTTGGTTGAATCTCAGTGCTGCCAATCTCAGACACTCTTTGGAATCAATTTTCTACATGTACATTTCAGGATAGGCTTTCCACTGGTGAGAATACTGGATCATGCATCGGAAATGTGTCAGTATGGCCATTTATAGTTCATACTGGTGACAACACAGGAAACCCAAGACAAGGACAGAATGTTGTCACCCTATAAGAGGAAGTGCCTGAACAGAATCTCCATGAAAGACTCACCAGGAACGGTTTTAAAGAGAACTTACAGAATTACACTAAGATGTTAAAGATTATATGAGATTTTAGTTATTGCTTTACATATACTTAAAATGTTAGGCACTTCTTAAATCCATCAATTTTTTTTATCAGGACTTAGGCACTTTATTACACTGGTAGATGTTTATATGAAAATTCACATTGATACATTTGAGGACTTCACAAATGTCATTTGAATGTATTTTTTTTTCATAAATGAAAAAAAAAACAAAAAAAAAAAACACTTTTAAACATTCACTTAAGGCATAAATTTACAGAAAAAAAAATTCAATTACTTTCCAGAAGCAGGTTTCTGAAAAAAAAAAAAAAAAAAAAAAATTCCATCCCGCTACTTAATTTTTTCATCACTGATCAAACCATTTTTAATTTGACTCCACTAAGGATTAGAAAATAAAATATTCCTGAAACAAAATTTCAAAATATCCCTTTAGTACATGGCCAGCTTTAGAGGAAGATTTGGTAACCACAGATACAGGCAAAAATCAAGAAATCCCTTATAACTGTAGCCAGGTATACCTTGAAACAGCAAATACAGACTACAAACACACAGCCCTTATTTTAGGAGCTTTGAAAGGTACAATTGGAAGGGGGATGGTGATCTCAATCTACCATATCAAAAACTCCATCCATGAAAATGTTTGGCATTCTTGCTTGAACACCTTTGCCTGTCAAACCTGCAAGTGGGCATATACATGCCGAGAATCAAAGTGGGCTACAGTACTGGTGGTCTCCCGCATCACATGAAGAGAAGGAATTTACAATACAAATACAGTAGATGTACCCTTATGAAGTTCTGCAACAGTTTCCAAAAGAAACATTCGTGACTTTTTGCTATTAAAGTATCTAAGCCCAAAACAAACAAAAGGCAATATAGCTTACCAAGCTTTAGATGTGGTGGCTGCATTAGCTTTTTGTTCTCATCACTCCCCTTTGCTTAATATTCACCTGGTGATGCTGCTATTAACACTTGTCGTAGAAGCCATAGGCTTCTCTGTACAGACGTTACAAGAGCATAGGATTAGCAGAAAGTACTTAAAGATGGTGGTGGCATTTTGTCTTTTTTTCAGTTTAAGGACTGGTAAGCTGAACATATTACGTTTTTTTTTTCTTGAGTTTAGATCTCATTTAAGGTCCACCATCATACTTGTTTTCCAAGAACATACGAAATGCTATTCAAGGACTTGACAAATGTGCAAAAATAATTTTGTTTGCTTTTAACATTCCAGTTTGAAACAAACAAAACAAAAAAAACAAACAAAAAAAAACCCCAAAAAAAAAAAAATTGGTTGAATGAAAAACCACATACTGCGTTAGGAATTCTCAATAAACCTTCTGTCCTGCTCCAAATTTTCTTGCCACTGCAGTCAAAAATGATAGATTTGACCCACTGTTCAAAATTGAATGATTGTGTACACAAAAAGTTTTGAACGATTTCTACCAGTGTATGGTCAAGCTCAATTTATTCTCTATGATCTAGTTCTTCCCGGCTAATAGGCAAACGGCATAGACAGGGAAACCAACTACATTGGAGTAGACCTTAACCCATTCACTGCCAAGGAAATGCTCAAGCTTTCAAAGTTTTTACTGCAAACTTTTTTTTAAAACTACCAAATTCCACTAAATGTAAAAAAGTGTAACCTACATAGCATAAATAACATGCAAGCGTATATAAACCTGCGTGTACCTGGGAATTGTGTGTTCATGTATATTATACATGTGTGCACATTGGATTGTTTTATTAGTCTATGGACTGCCATAGGCTGAAGAGTCAAATAAAGGGTTTTGCAGCAAGCCGATAATCAGCCTGAATTCTGTTTAGATTCTTCCAGGCTCTGCAAGTACTCGTAAGCTCAGCATGTTGATTACTTTTGCCTGTTACTGTTGAAGGCTCAAGTAATTCATTTGGAAGGACAACCACTAAGTTATGAATACTTATCCAATACAGCCAACCACTGAGGAGTTTGTTAAGCAGTATAAACTCGGGGAGATGGTCCCTCCGAGATGGTTCTTACCGCCTTGGCTTCTGACTGGAGAGGAGATCTGCATAGAGCATTTTCTCCCTAGGGCTTCACCTCAGCTGGAGGCCCATGGACTTCCCTACCCTACTGGATTGTATATGTGGACGGAACTGGGCTTAAGGATGTTTTTTGAAAGACCTTCTTGCATGATGTTGCAAAGTAGTTGAGTACAAGGTATTTCTCGACATTGTAAGGATTCACACACCAATTAACGTATCCGATTGCTGCCAAAAGGGTCAAGGGCCAAAATGATACAAATGAGACTGACTACTCCTTTGGGTTCTGAATCAAGACAGTATCTCAAACATATAAACCTATCCCCTGAAAGCATACAAGTCTTACTTTCACCCTTGAAAGTGTAATAAATGATACCTCAATATGCTCACCCTATAGTCAAAGCAAACAAGTGCTAAACTAAATAAACTATGCATAAAGGTATAAATCAATTGAATCAAGTACATATAATAATAAAAAACTCAGTGTCCAAAAATAATTATAAAGGCAGTGTCCAAAATGCCAAGGTAGAAATCAATTGAATCAAGCACATCTAATAATTTACTGTGTTTATATTATATGTACTTTATTCAATTGATTTATACCTTGGTATTTTGGACACTGCGTTTATATTAATTTTTGGACACTGCGTTTATATTAATTTTTGGACACTGCGTTTATATTATATGCACTTGATTCAATTGATTTATACCTTTATGCATAGTTTATTTAGTTTAGCACTTGTTTGCTTTGGCTATGGGGTGAGCATATTGAGGTATTTACGCCTTTGGGTTATTCTGCACCCCTAAACCCTCTCTTGGAATAGAGTTTAGCATTAAATAGTAAAAGGCTAAAGTGGTGCCCAGGTTATTTTCTCTCCCACCATACACCAAGGACCCAACTCGAAGATAGAAAGGTTAACCTTCCACACTACATAGGTGGTCATTCTGCATCACCCCAAGAGGAGGTGTGCTCCTTTACAGTTTTTGCTATACACGCTTCCTGTTCTAAAAGGGCAGATATTCCCCCTATAGGAGCTTTACACTCCTAGGGAGCATAATTATTGCCTTGATAAAGAAGTCCTCTCTCCTGGCACTAAAACATCACATCCATCTGTCACTAAAGTTTTTCCAACACTAAACCACTGGCTGTTGATCTTCTGAAAAAAAAGTTTAAAAATCATAAAAACTGGCTGTACAGAATTAAAAATCATTTGGCATAACGTTAGGTATTGCTTTAAACATACTGAGTGTGCAAAGGGTTAATCAATATTGTCTATTGAATTATAAACGTTCATTCATGCAGTTTGGGGACATACCATTCTCCACGGCTCGTTTCAGGTTATCCAACATGCAATCGTAATGCACCCGGCACAGAACCTTCTCCTCCACCAGAGCAAACTCTTCCCCTGTGGACAGCTGCCTCTTACAGGAATAGCAGGCAAAGCATGCCAAGTGGTAGACGTTACCCTTCGCCCGCCTCACCCAGTCCGTGGAGTGGATGTGCCTGCCGCAACGTGAGCACCGCGTTCCGTATCGCCTACATGAGGGAAATACAAATAAGGTACGTACAAATAAATGCCAGTTAATAAACCAGACTGAGCTAGAAGTATGCAACAGACAGGATTTTAGTTACATGCAGGGGCAGACTGACCATTTGGAAACTCGGACACTGCCCGAGGGCCCGGGGTCAGTAGGGGGCCCCATGAGATGCCCCTGGTACCTTTTTCATAGGCTTTTTTGAGTTTGGGCAAGGACACAGGGGTCCCATGATCCCCTATTGCCTGGGGGCCCCATGAGTTGTCAGTCCACCCCTGGTTACATACACAGGGCTACGTGGTGATACGTGGAACAATGAGCAGTAACCCAGCCCAATCAGTTTACCTTCAGCTGAGTTATCCAATAGTAGTTATTCACCTTCACCTCATCAGTTCCATGGCCCCATGTACACTAGGCGTTTGCACAGTTCTTCTAAACGCCAGGAGAAAAGCAGCCTCAAAGCCTAAAGCACTTGGGTGCAGGGGCGGACTGATCATTAGGAAACTTGGGCACTGCCCGAGGGCCCGGGGTCAGTAGAGGGCCCCATGAGATGCCCCTGGTACCTTTTTTTATAGGCTTTTTTGAATTTAGGCAAGGACACAGGGGCCCCATGATCCCCTATTGCCCAGGGGCCCCATAAGTTGTCAGTCCGCCCCTGCTTGGGTGTTCATTTCATGGGCCAGGATATTAAATTTATTCTGGCCATTGAAATAAACGCTCAAGCGCTGCATGCGCCTAGCCTTCATGTGTGTGTAGACACCATTACACGAGTCTAGGCGTCAGTCTTTTTTCTGTTCTTTAGCAGTAACACTCCTCTCCTGAATGCACAGGCTCTGCATTTTTTTTCGGTCTCTAAACACATGTAAACTGCCGTGTTTGTATTGGGGGGTGTTTAGAGTAAGAACCACCCCTCACACCTCCAAATCAAAACCCAACCAAAAACACAAAAAAACTACGAGACAAAAAAAAGCTTGGAGAAGCTACAAAAAGGTCTTCAATATTACAGAAGATGTTCAATTAAATGTAACTACCAACAACGTACTAACTTGATCAGGGGCGGATTTGACAACTGATGGGGCCCCTGTGTCCTTGTCCACAGGTACAAGGGGCATTTCATAGGGCCCCCTACTGACCCCGGGCCCTTGGGCAGGGCCCAGGTGTCTGAATGGTCAGTCTGCCCCTGAACTTGATATACCATGATCTAGATAAGTGAGAAACTCCACAGAATTACGGAGCTGCTGAACATAAAGCTGTTTAAAGAACAGCAATTTACTGAATAAAAATCATCTATTTTATACGCAGGATTCATAAAGACGATACATGCAAGTCTTGAGCCAATTAGTTTGAAGTAGGGCTGAACATGTACTTTTCTGGGGTCTGACAAAAAATAGGCTTTGACTGACATCAGCAGATTTTTTTTTAAAAAGAGGACCTATACTTAAAGAACTGAGGGCAAAATTAAAATGTGGCCCATGTGATGCAATCTGCCAGGAGATCCATCATTTTTCAGTTTCCTGAGACAAAAACACTCGTTCTGCAGTGAAATTGCACAGAAAAAACTGTAACCTTAAAGGACAGGCAGTTTAAAAAGGGGCAGCCCAACGCCAGCTAACATGTAAAGCAGAACTTTACCTCTCTCCCTCCCCCCCCCCCCCCCTAAAAAAAAAAGGGAAGATTTGCTCATCTTCCTCATCCTCCCCAGCTCCTCATTGTAAACCTTTTTTTAGGGGTGCAGGCAGGGGCAGACTGACAACTCATGGAGCCCCTGGGCAATAGGGGATCATGGGGCCCCTGTGTCCTTGCCCAAGCTTAAAAAGGCCTATAAAAATGGTAGCAGGGGCATCTCATGGGGCCCCCCTACTGACCCTGGGCCCCCAGGCAGTGCCCGAGTTTCCAAATGGTCAGTCCGCCGCTGGGTGCAGGTACCTATTCAAACTTCTGCTCCAATTGTACTACCACTTCCACCACCCCCTATGACATGTCACAGGGCCCAGGAGGCTGCGGGACCATTCATATCGTGGCTCATGCATGAGGTGAGGAGCCAACTGCGAAGCTGCAGAAGTCACAGCAGCCTTCCCACAGTCAACATGGCAGCACCAGGGACCCAAAGACCAGTGAAGAACTGGCCTGGGTGAGGACAGCACTGGATCCCTGTACAGGAAAGTGTCTTTTATAAAAAGTCAGCTGCTTTTTCCTCCTTTTTGTTTTTTGGAAACAAGGTTTAAGACACATGGATAAAAGTGAGCTGATGCAAGCACCCATGGCAGGGTTCCAGTTTATCCCAACCCTTGTCAAGTCACTTTTGGAATTGAAAAAAAAATCATCTACGGGCAGGATCAATACTATGTTACATGGGAGCCTCAAACAAATCTGCTGCATTAATGCCATAGATAGGACTGCGTCAAAAGTCTTATTTGCCCGTAGATGCACCTCAAGTCTGAGTGTTTGTCAAGGATTTAATTGCAGTTTGAGCCAAAACAGCAGTAGGATTAAGTCCTCATGCACACTGGACATTTTTACAGCTGCTGTTTTTGGCTTTTGGTGGATTTTTTTTTGTACCGCCAGTTAACTCCCGAGCATGTTATCCTGTGTGTCCATGCACACATAGGCTGTAATTAGCATTTTTTTGGCAGGGGCCTTTTTTTGGCTTGAAAAAAAAAAAAAAAAAAAACCAGAACTAGTGGGTTTCTAGGTTTTTTTTTTAAGATGTAAAAATGTTCTAACCCTGAAAAATGCAATAAAATGGCACTTGGATGTTTGAGAACAAAACCCAATTTTTGCTAAAAAAAAGGAAACCGCATATGTGGAAAAACAAGACAAAAACGCTAATGCAAGAAGGCTAAAAAAAAAAAAAAAAAAAAAAAAAAAAAAAACCTTTACACACCTAAAGTTACCAGTTTAAAAATGCTCAGTGTGCATAAAAAAAAAAAAAATTATTTAGCATATGAAGTAAGACAGCAGATCCCTTCCTGATATGACTGTGCCCAGGTACCCTTTGAGATGCCCATCAGGTATTTGACCTCTGGAGGCATATTATACAGGATTTATATCCCACCCCTGCTTATGATCACTGGATGGCATGGCCGGTGTCACTAGGAGGTGTGGTCTAAACAGGAAGAGCTCCCCAACAGCTCATACCTCCACCAATATGGCAGCCACACAGCATGGAGTAGTGGATGACAAAGTGGGTCAAGGCAAAGGAACAGCTGCGGATTGTATGCTGTCCACACTTTATTCCTTCAGACCGTACAAGCCAAGATGATTGTGAATGATAAAGTTTAAGCCCACTATAAATACATTTGAGCAAACTCAATGATATTTTGGGCTAAGGCCCATTAAAATAATTATAGTGGGCTTATACTTGAACAAACTTTTTATATACATCTCCATAAAAACATACAATATTCCTAACCAGTACAATGATACATATTCTGGAATACATTCCATGCAGTTAAATTAGCAGCCAAAGCAGAAACTGGCAGATAATTCATACCTGAAATAATCGAGCTTGCAAAAAATATCTTTGTCTTTGATATAACAGCTTGTGTGTCTTCCCAGTGAAGTCCGGCATACACTACAGGACAGACAGCGCACGTGCCAACACAAGTCGTTTACCTGGTGAGGACAGAGGAGTTGGTTATACAAACTCTGGAGCTCAGGGGTTCAAAAACAACTGCATGTGAGAAAATGTAGAAGAAAAAGGTTAAGAGAAACCTGAGTGTGACATGGTTTTATTCTCATTCCAAAATTACTACTTGTATACAAATGTCATTCATCGCAAAAGAAAATTATTCATGGATGGAAAAATGCTTAAAGTGATTGTAAACCTCAGACATGAATTATGAACAAAACCATATCCCTCTATAGTGTGTACTTGTTTCAATCCAGAGCACTAAGTGTTATTTTTGCCTGCGGCCCTCCCTCTGCTACAAGCATGACACCAAGAGAAAATGGTGACAGGGGAGGGACCTCCAGCAGATTGACAGCCTCAGCTTTGTTCCTGTGTGAAAGGGGGGGGGGGGGGGGTGTCCCTTCCATCCAATTAGCTCTCAGAGCTCTCCTCACTGATGTAACTTCAGCTCCCCGCCCCCTGCTTTTTCAGACATGAGAGGTCCTGTGTAAATTCTGCACTTTGAATGGATGTAGGGGAAGACATCTGTAGATAAATAGGTACAACTTATGTAGGATTGGTTTAGTTTCTGTGGATCACCTCAGGCCAGTCACTTCAGTGGGTATATGTAAGGGTTTACAGCCACTTTAATTTAGGAAGCAGTCAGGGCATTTCTAAGACAATTGTTTAAGGCAGATCTCCAGAAAAAAAAAAAAAAAAAAAAGCTCAAGATAAAATGAATACCCTTTAAAGGGTAAAACAACACCAGCTTTTGGTGAAATATTTTAGTATAACTAAAAAGGAGTTTTAGAGAGAGTGGAGAGGTAATACAGACACTTTGGTTTTTATTGCTGTCTGTACCCCCCATTGGGAAGATTCACTCTCTAATTGTCCTGTTTACCATTATCATTGAAAGTATAATAAAATCCAAAATGTTGGGTTGCCCCCAGAAAAAGAGGGGGAATCTTCCCATGAGGACACTAGTCCTGGTGACCCAGGGGAAACCACATTTCTGTTAATTTGCCTCTCGCTTACCGTTTTGGCTATGGGACAGGAAGTAAAGATAAATCTCCCCAATAGGAGACAAATAAAAAAAATACAAAAACCGACTGGGGTTATAACTCTTCCTTACTCTATCCCCCAAAAAAAGAAAAAAAAAAAAAAATTGCCTATAGTTTTACTTTATACTTCAATTCAGAGTGGTTTAATCTGCAGGACTTTCTTCTGGCAGGAGATGTCCTCTGTATGATGGCTCAGAGGAGATGGTTGAATGAGGATTCTGGCCATCAGGTGGAGGACATCTAGTGGCAGAAGAAAAAAAAAAAAAAAAAAAGTGTGCTACTGTGCAGCAAAAGCGGTTCTCTTCTAATGTGCCATTTTTTATATTTCATCTTGTTTTTGACTGCTCTGCTTTAGTTGTCACCGTTATATTAAAGTATATATATTGTACAAACACTGCTAATATACACATTACATAAATCAAATATCAGGCAAGAATTTAGCCTAATTAAATAATTGGTTTTGCTTTTCTCAAATTGGTGCAAAGGGTCCAACACACCATTTTCCTTTAAACCAATAATATTGCCAAGCAGCAATGACTTTGAGAAGTATGCAATTGCCAAACAGCTGCTGGCATTTGTCCGATCTGCCAAAAATCAGACTGTTCAGGAACCCAGCTAGTCAATATAAGAATTGCAGACCAAACACGTACATCCACATGACCTTCCCTCCCCCACAACCAATCCAATAAATGTTAACTGCTCGAAACGAGAGGAGACTGGTTTGTTGGGGCTACTGTACTTCATATCACTATCCTTTGCATTTTGCCTTCGTAAATCATCCTGGAGAACAGATAGTAATTACCTTTTCATAAGATGTGTTTTCAAGGGTTGACTGAAGTCCCAAAGGTGTGGGAAAAGGAGACAAGCAAAGAGGGGTCTTGGGAGCAGAGTTGTTTGGGTGATTTGAGAGGAGGTCGGGGATCTAGCTCGGGGGACTGGGGGAGTTGGTTTGGGCGATTTGAGAGGAGGTCGGGGATCTAGCTGGGGGCAGAGTTGGTTTGGGCGATTTGAGAGGAGGTCGGGGATCTAGGGGATCTAGCTGGGCGGGGGCAGAGTTGGTTTGGGCGATTTGAGAGGAGGTCGGGGATCTAGCTGGGGGCAGAGTTGGTTTGGGCGATTTGAGAGGAGGTCGGGGATCTAGCTGGGGGCAGAGTTGGTTTGGGCGATTTGAGAGAGGTCGGGGATCTAGCTGGGGGCAGAGTTGGTTTGATTTGAGATGACCTTGTATGTTGTGGATAGTATGTTTTTATTTTTATTTCATGCGGTGGGCATCCAGCTTTAGCAAAACTTCAAACTTGTATTAAGCAGAATGCCAACCTTTTCAAGAACCCCAGCGGGAGAACAAGTTGGGAAAAAAACATTCACAGTTCAGTTCAAATGCAGAGATGAAGCAGGAGGGAACGCGCTGACAGCATCCGCGTCAGAGGGTGGACTGCAGCCTGCCTGGTCCAGTCCCAAAGGGGGGGCTTAACAGTATAGCAAGTCCATAGCCTGGCACGTTTCCCTAACACTAATCACTTTACCTGTCACATGGGGTCTCTCTCCCTACATTATCCACTTGCAAAATGCTGGCCACTGCAGTGAGCCAGGGCTTTTTATAAGCTCTGCCCTCACTAAAGATGGCCACCAGTCATAGGAGGCAGCGACATCCAGCCGGATCACTTCCCAGTGACCCATAAAACTATACAGAAACCATGTTTCTCCTGACTTCCTCTCCAGGCTGTGTCACCACTCAGGCTGAGCGCCTCCTACAGAGGAGAAAACAGACTGCACCTGCCTACAAACCATTTAGGAGATTGGCAGAGAGGGTTGGCAGGCACTGAGCGGTGGGGTCAGGAAAACAAGTCCGGCAGCAGTACTCATGATAGACTATGCTGGTTGATTTTCACTATGGTACTTACTACAAAAATGTGTCGGACATAAGCAAAAGGCACAAAATGTTTTTTTAAAGGATTGCTTCAATTTGCATTCTTCTACAAAACTGAACTACTTACGTTTGTGTCGAGTCAAGATAAAAAAAAAAAAAAAAAAAATATATATAAAGCACATGAGGTAGGAAAGAAGTTATAAAACCTTCAAGTCTCAATGGAAGTAGATCCTGGAACCTATACAGACAGCCAAAATTCGACCAGTCCTGTAAAAAATGATCTTGGTCCCATTCCCCCTCTTATCCCAAGCATCCCTACTGGGGATTGTAATGTGGAAGGCAAGAGGATGACTTCATCTGAGGTCTGCATTTCTGATGTATTGCTTTTTTTGGTTTTTTTTTTTTTTTTTTTTTTTTAAAGAATCTTGCCAAAAAAGCAATCTTTGTTGTATTGAAGCCAAGGGCATGAGCAAAAATGCAGATTGACAAGATCAAGGAAATTCCAGTTAGCTTTATTTTAACAAGGTTTCCATAGTCATTTTTGTATTAAACACAATTATCCAATAAAAAAAACAATAGCCATAGGTCAAAATGTGCTCTACGTGTTATAAAAAAAAAAAGCCAAAATATATCACCATCTAGCATATTTATCAGACATGTTCAAAAGACTCATTATGCCTCATAGAATATACATTGGGGTGTTTGCTTTTCAAGATGGAGTCATTTGTTGGGCAATTCCATTGTCCTAGCGCTCCGGGGCCCTCAAAAATGTGATAGGGAGAAGTAAGTTATTTAATGTTTCAGCAGTAACTAGTAATGCGCCCCTGTGCACATCCCTAGCTCTCAGACCCCAATGTCAAATTAACTGATGGATAGCAATCCTGCCAAATGTCAAGCTTCATCCCCACTGATCAGTTGACAGATTCACTTAGTTTTCTGCTACTAAAAGTTCAAGAAGCAATCCGGTTTAGAATAGAAATTTACTTTTTAAAATAAGTCTGAATGTTTCCTTGGAACATTTTATGGGGCTGAAGCACACCCTCATGATAGGATGCAGTACTGCAACCAGGGGCGGACTGACCATTTGGAAACTCAGGCACTGCCCGAGGGAGCCTGGGGTCAGTAGGGGGCCCCATGAGATGCCCCTGGTACCTTTTTCATAGGCTTTTTTGAGTTTGGACAAGGACACAGGGGCCCCATGATCCGGTATTGCCCGGGGGCCCCATGAGTTGTCAGTCCGCCCCTGACTGCAACACATTGTGCTAAAGCACTTAAACTTTAACTGCACCATATGGCAAATGGCGTTTCAGCCCCTAAGATTTTGGAGTTGGAAAAAAATACTGCAGATCCATTTTTCCCTTGCAATGGCAGCCCAAAAGAAAATGAATGAGCTGCCTTGATGCAAAGTACAGGAGACCATGGAGGCATACACTTCACAAGAACAATTAGAAAAAAAAAAAATGCTCTAAACAAACCTAAGCTTGTAGAGACCTTTAAATGATCTACCGGTGGAGACTACGCTTAGGGTCCCCACAATGGATGAATCTTTTTAAAATGGATGCAAAGCATTATGTTGTAGTGGAAAATGCAATACATACAAGCCCCACAGAATACTCTGTTATCAGTCAGTAAATCTCATCCAAAGCCGGCAGTATTAAAAATAAACACTGCAAGCCACAACAAGAAATCACGCAGATCCCCGTCTGTCCAAGAAATACAGATAGAAGTTCCAGGAAACAAGCAATCTGTACAGAAGGCCAACTCATGATATGCAGTAAATATCAGTTACCGTAAATGACATCCACACTGGAAAATAGATCAGTTTAAGCATCACAGGAAAGCATGCCTTCCATGTCCATTCTTAGAACTTTAAACGGTTTGGTTTATATTTTACATGCAGGACTATACCTCAGATAGTACACCACCAATTCAGAAGGCCAACACCAGGAAAAGTACACTCGTTGAAAATGCCTGTCACTTATTTGAAAATGAGTCCAAAGATTTAAAAATTAGTCAAGTGTAAAATTAGGGAACCTTATCCCTGTGACAGCTGTGTGTATTAAACCCCGTGATCATT